ATCGCGCCTCGAATTTTAGTTGAATCACCACGAAGCTTAGCTAGACGCTGCGTCCTCTGCCGTCCAAACGAAGGTGATCACATCATATAGAGCAGCAGCAGCGTCTGATAATCTCCTATATATTTTAATATTTACTGCAGGTCGTACATCTAGAGTTTCTCAGCTTCAACGTGGAATCTTCTAACAACTGCTCCAATGATTCGCTGACTGTGTATAACGGAGCCGACGCCAATGCGACCATGTCAGCCAGGTTATGTGGGCATAGCTTGCCCAAGAATCAAGCCTTCAACGAAACGAATATGTTCCTGCATTTTGTCAGCGATTCTAATAGAAGCTACAGTGGGTTTCAAATCCGCTACCGTTTCAATGAAACTAAACGTGAGTAGAGATTTGTGCTCTCATACACGCTACGATAATCTGCGCTCTTCATACATACAAAATTAAAATGTAAAGTTACTAAGTTAATCTAGTTAAAAGGTACGATTGCACGCGTGCATGCGTGCGGGCGTTCGTGTGTTGTGTACGCGCACGTGTGTGTTCGTGCGTGTGCGTTTGTGCTTGTCTCCGTGTGCGCCAATTAACCAATCTCCGTGTAAGAACCGTACCGTAATCACTGTTGTCATCTAAACCTCTAGCATGGGAAGGATGTAACGGAGTTAATCACACATACGACAACCCAGCGGGCGGCATCATGACGTCACCATTGTTTCCCAACAATTACCCCAAAAATTCCTATTGCAAGTGGCAATTCCAAGCACCGCCTGGAAAGGTAAGAAAGAACATTAATATATACTAATATAATATAATACTATAATTATAATACTAATATAATAATTTACATATTTTCCCGAGAGGGGCTTCGAAGCAGATTTTAATTTCTTCAATTTGCTGTTGAAGATATAATCCGTGAATTTACAGCGGGTTATGACGCGCGTCACATGCCTACTAATATATATGTGAAGAGCTACTTGTTTATTTGGAGAGGTGACGACACACTAAATAGCATGACCTTTTACACCAACGCAACATCATGCAATTCAGTATNGGTGTTATGTTCCTTAAATCGTATATTTTAGTATGTCTTTCTGTACGTCAGATGTTTACGTATGCCACTAGCCAGTGGCTGCTGCAGTGCATGTGTTGGCTGCAGTTTTTGCCGCTTACGTAATTGGTGTACAGGTGGCAGCTCTCTATTGCAATTTGAGCGTGTAGGCTTGCGTAGCGTAAATGGATGAAGTGCCGTACTATTTGTCTTCAAATAGTTGTTGCTAACGACGTGATGATGGGAGCTTCCATCTTTAATCTGAGACACTTAACGTACGCGCCATTCGTGGCACTTTCATACGAGGGCAACGACACTTCTTTTGGAAGGTTCCTGATACCATCCTGTGCTTCAGTGTTTGGCGTGTATGTGACACATTTGGGACTAACAGGGTTACTAGATCCCACCACTCCACCACAAGTCACCGCGTAGACGTTAGTGGCGCGGTCGCCTGCGACTTGTTTGGTTAGATCACCGTTATATAACTGTTCCTTTTTCTGTTTGACCTCTGTAGACATAGTCATGCAATTTAAGGCGATTTATAATGCCTGCAAACGCAGCGTGGCCTCGATTTTAGTTGATCACCACGAAGCACTAGCTAAACGCTGCGTCCTCTGCCGTACAACGAAGGTGATCTCATCATATAGAGCAGCAGCAAGAGGTACTGATAGCGTCTATAGTTATGACTGCAGGTCGTACATCTAGAGTTTCTCAGCGTTCAAGTGGAGTTCCTCTAAAAATGCTCCCAATGATTGCGCTGACTGTGTTTATAACGGAGCGACGCAATGCGACCAGTCAGCCAGTTAGTTGTGGGCATAGCTTGCCAAGGATAACGTCAACGAAACGAATATGGCTGCATTATTGTCAGCGATTCTAGTAGAAGCTACAGTGGGTTTCAGATCCGCTACGTTTCAATGAAACTAAACGGTAGTAGAGATTTGTGCCTTTCATACACGCGACGATAATCTGATAGGTGCGGGCGTTGTGTGCTTGTGTACGGCAGCGTGTGTTCGTGCCAGTGTGCGTGTGTGCTTGGCTCAGGCCAAGATCGTCCTGTGCGCAATTAACCAATCTCATGTAAGAACCGTACCGTACATTACTGTTGTCATCTGAACTCTAGCAGGGAAGGATGTAACGGATGTTAATCCAACATAACGACATCCATCGGGCGGACAGTCATGACGTCACCATTGTTCCCACAATTAGCCCAAAAATGTCCGATTGCAAGCTGGCCTTCCAAGTCACCGCCTGGAAAGAGTAAGAAAGAACATTAATATATATAATATAATACTAAGATAATAGTATAATATAATACTTAATTATAATCACTATATATAATTTACGATTTGCCACGAGAGTGGCTTCGCGAAGCAGATTTCATTGTCTTCAATTGATATAATCCGTGAAGTTACAGCGGGTTATCGACGCGACGTCACAGCCTACTAATATATATGTGAAGAGCTACTTGTTCTATTCGAGAGGTGGCACGGCACACGAAATAGTAGTACATCGCACTTTAGCACGGACCTTTACACCAACGCAACACCATGCAATGAGTATGACATCTAGTTATTGGACCAGGTACATGATACAATACTTATGCCTTTATGTTACTAACTGCGTAACTGATGCTACACCTGAAATAGCCTAAATAGCTCCTGCACACGGCATTCTTGTGAGTAACCAACACAGGAACTTAGATCACGACAAGAATGCTGTGTCTGTCGCCGTCTTTTTGACGCGACCACATCGCATAGGAAGCAGCGTCTGATAGTTCATATATACTTTACTGTAGGGTCGTACATTAGAGTTTTCAGCTGGCAACGTGGAATCCGACGAAACGTGAGAATTGCAGCGATGCTATTCAGCTACGATTAGCTACTTTCCTATGCCTTAGGCGCAAGATATGTGGCACAGCCTACGCGAAAACCAACTCAAGCGCAGAAATGCAGATTGCATTTTAGTCAGTGACTCTGCGTTTAAATACAGCTGGCGCTTCAAGAGCCGATTTCAGTTTTAATGATCGAAGGTAGGGTAAACGCAGATGTTATTTTTCACCCAGTCAACTGTTTGTATTCAACAAAACAAATTGAGATGTCAAGCTGGATTTGGGTAAAAAGGTGGAATGTTCATATTTGTACGCGTACTTTTCAGCGTAGGGGATACATGTTCATAATTAGGCATTACGTAATACACACGACGTATATACGGTGAGAAATTGACGAAATACATTTACGTTAAATAATAGTGGTACATCTATGTAATAATCATGTGTTCGAGTTGCTCACACACAGACTATTGGATTGGAAGGATGTGTAGGGCTCATCATCATCTACGACAACCCATCGGGCGGCAACATGATGTCACGCATGTTCTAAGAATTATCCCAACAGGCGGGACTGCAATGTGGCTCTTTCGTTGAGCGCCAGCCTGGCAGGAAGGGTAAGAGAAAGGACAAGCCTATTGACGACTGCTGTGGGTGAAATGGACTTTTTCTCGCTCGATATTTAATCTGAATAATGACTCGTGATATACTTTGGTTGTTAAATCATATGTACGGGATTGATAAAGTTACTTGATACTCCAAAGTAGATAGAGCGCTGCAATTTGAAATAATCGGAATGTTATGTATAGGGCTAGGATCTTGGATGCCTTCTGTTTGTCTACGATGGCACCGAGGAAATAGTTTCTTTCTTTGCCATTTATCTGAATTTACATGGCAGCAGTTCTGCTGAACTTCTAATTCACTGCAGAGTCGACCGGGGGGGGTTAGCGTTAGAGGGGTCTCTGAGTTCGTTCGAATCGTGTTATTTGTTTCGGGATGTTGCGGACGTAGTGCGATCTACTGCGGGTGGTGGGTACGGGAGTTCTTGGGGTCGGGGGGGTATGGCGGGTTTCCAGAGACAAAGGGGCTTTTGTGCGCCGATAGGTTAGCGTTAGCCATGAACTAGTTCTTTTCATCGCGGGCAGGTAAGTTGATCGTATGACTGGTGCGATTTCTTCATGACTCTAGGGTTGTCAAACAGTGGCGCTTCCAGATCCGGTACGTTTCAATTATTACGGAGGTAAGTCAAACTAATGGGTTATCATGGGTTATAACGTGTCAAATACGTCAATGACTAAGGCGTGTTTGTGTGGGAAAGATTATCAGGCGGTGTATGCGGTGGTGCGTGTCGTGCGTGACAAGCGCGTCGTATCCGTGTGTGCAGCTGCCGTATGTATGGTGATAGTGTTTACGCCCGTTTGAGGTGATGCGGTACGGTCCGTGCGACGACCATGCATGCTTGTGTGCTATGGTCGGCGTGCGTGTGGCTGCGCGGTGTGTTGTTGGAGTAAAGGCGTATTTAGGTCCTGCTGAGTGTGCGTGTGATGTGTGTGTGTGTGTGTGCTTGTGTGTTGGTGTGTGTAGCCGTGTGAGTGCGTGCGTGAGTACGTAGTGGGTGGGCCAATACATGTGGTCTGCTTCAGTGGGTTGCGCGCTTGGCGCTGCCACCGGGTGTCGTGTGTGTGGTGTGTGCTGTGTGTGTGATGTGCCGTGGCGTTGTGTGTGTGGTTGTGTGTGTGTGTGTGTGTGTGCTTTGTGTGTGGGTGTGTGTGTGTGTGTGTGTTGGGTGTGTGTGTGCTGTGGAAGAACGTGTACGCCGCACTTGCTTCGCGTAGTGCCGTGGAGCTTACAGTCGCGTGCGCGGCAGCCGCGCCGTGGGATGAGCGCTGGTTATTATTGCAGGTCGGGCAATCAACAGTTTCTAAGCTACACGGCGATCTTTTAGCAGCGCATAGCACGTAAGATGCACCGGACGCATGGTGCGCGGAGACGTAGCCGAGCGACGATGACGATACATCGTTGTTACCCCAGATATCTGCATACGGCTATCTTGAGGATGACTGACAACGCCCCGACATAACTTCCACATAACAGACTTCCCGAGAGATGTGCCTGCATTCCTCAATTTATATTGAGATCTCGGTTCATCATCCGCTACCAGTTTCACTGGCGTTTGGCCCTGCGACTGGAAGGGCCTGAATAATAAAGTCGTGGATTGCGACTACGAAAATGATAGCAATAAGGGAATAAATAGCATGTTTTTTTTATAGATTATATATGTGTGCGCGCGCGCGAGCGTGCGTATGCGCGTGCGCTGCGTGTGCACGTGTGTGTGCGAGGTCTTAAGATAGTATAAATTTTCGTTTAATTTTTAGTTATCGATTGGGTATATATATATACAGGTCTATATACTATATACAGGCAACGGCCCTGATATTCCTTTATTTATCTGTGGATCGTTTTCTCGATTTCTTGCTATACTGTAGGCAAAGGGTTAGTATTTGATTTTATTTGATATTATAAAAGCACGAAACGGGCGCTTGTGGGTTTAAAATCATTATAGAAAACTCAAATTCTAGCTATTTTTGTTAGGTGCTCATTTCGTCTGAATTCGTGGGACGGCATGACAGTAACGCGGATCAATCCCACTTTACAGTGTAAAATATGTTCTAGATTTTATGCTTTGTTTGTTTCGCAAAGATATTTTTTAACCAACAATTAATTATAGGTATTATACCTTATAGGCAACTTATTAGGTATTATACCTTATAGGTAAATATGATATACCTATGCGTGCATTGCAGTATAATTTCGGCGTGTGGAATTGCAATTTTTAAAACTAAATCCCGCCGATTTATTATTACACTATTTTATCTTTATAAAAAAACGGCTCTCAATTTGTGGTAATATTTTGCATTAAAGTGCATGAATGTGCAATGTACACGTAGGGTGGCTGCATTTAGGCGTCTAGAAACCATGAAAAAAAATATCTATCTATCTATCTATCTATCTATCCATCTATCTATCTATCTATCTATCTATCTATCTATCTATCTATCTATCTATCTATCTATCTATCTATCTATCTATCTATCTATCTATCTATCTATCTCTCTATCTATCTATCTATCTATCTATCTCTCTATCTATCTATCTATCTCTCTATGTTGTTGTTGTTGCTGCTGCTGTTGGTGGTAGTGCTCGTTATCGTATATAGTGGCTCACAACGTCATCCCAGTTGCTCCAGTCATTCGCCGTGTCTTCCAACTCTAATCCTATGAACACGTACTCGCCAGACGTGGTCATACCGAGGCTCTGGGCGTGTAACATGATCTCGCGAAGCTGACGGCGTTCGGTCGGCAGCACAAACATTACTGAAAGTGCATCGTACGTAATCGTCAATTTCGCGACTGCATCAAAAAAAAACCTCAATGACATGCATGGCAGTCCTACATATTAAAACCAATGACAAGATGATAAATTGTGACACAAAGCACAAGGCTTTCCATCATTTGATTGCATTTAAGTTGTTTTTCTATTTTGACTATCAAGCGATCTTCTTATTAATTTCATACGTTTTGTTAAAATCCATTTAGGAAAAGCTAGGAAAACGTGACAGCAACATTGCTATACAATAATGACTTTACAATGAAAATCGAAAACACTTAAGCATTCACGATACCAAGAGACTAAGAATATCTTAATATTAATATCGATTAGCATATATCTAAGTTATTCCTAGTCTATGGTGGTACCAAGAGTGGGAGAGGCGATGGTGGTTTTCGGGACACGGGAATGCGCCATTTTAGTTATCTGGGACCCGGGAAATAGCAGATAACTTTTTTGTGTGATTCGGAAATAGAAGTAGACCGGGACGAATTTGCGATTTCAATTAACCGGGAACTGGTGGGAAATGGCATATTTTTCACATGGGAAACTGGTGACGAACCCCGCATTCACATTTCTATCAAGAATGAGGAGATAGAAATAAGAATCTTGATTAAATCTCTTGGTGTTACGGAGACGTCGGTGTTTATCTCTTGAAACAGTCGAAGCCACTCTGAGGAGTTCTCTTACGTCCGTCACATTAATTTTTTTAACATAAGTTTTCGAAACTCTGTATGTTCGGATAGAATTCGTTCCTAAATCCTACGAGCCTAAATACGATATAATCAGCCATATACAATCACATTCAGTGAGCTCATGTGAACACGAATCAAATACTTCATTTAAATAAATAAATGAATAAATAAATAAATAAATAAATAAATATATATATATATATATATATGTGTGTGTGTGTGTGTGTGTGCGTGCACGTGCCGTGCGTGCGTGCGTGCGTGCGTGTATGTGTGTGTGTGTGTGTGCGCGCGCGCGCGTGTGTGTGCGTGCGTGCGCGCGCGCGCGTGTGTGCGTGCATGCGCGCGTATGTGCGTGCGTGCGTGTGTGTGTTCGTGCGTGCGTGCGTGTGTGTTTTCTATTTTCCCTGCTCGCCTATCTTTCGCCCGCGCGTGTAGATGCTGTTACTCACGAGTGATATTACAATGTTTATTTCCAAAAAGACGAGCAGCGAATATCGGTCCCAATACTACTCACTCCACCCACTATCTCCTATAGCCTCCGAGTAGTTCAATCTGACATCAATTTCACGAAATACCTCTTGAACAGACTGTCGCCTGCCATTCTCGTCGCCAAGCTTCCGCCGTCGTTGATGATGCTGATGTGGTACCAGCGGAAGTGACGCAACAGAGTGATTATAGCACGATTGACGCTGTTAAAGTTGTGACCGAAACTCGTGAGCGTCGGAAAACCTTCGATTTGGTCTATCGTCACACCTCCGCTGGTGAAGATTGGCATGTTCCACTCAGCCGCCATACGACCCACGACGTCCGTTTGAGTGCTACATATTGTTCCTGGGAGCGTCATAGGGGATATCGACAGTTTTACTTGTATATCAATCAAGATCCGCGCTATTGATCAGTATCGTGGTATATATAATGAAACCACCGAATGACCATTCAATGCATCAAAGATTAATTCGTTGAAACGTTAATCATTACATGAACGCCTCTGACAATATACCATGCACTAATGTCATTAAACGTAATCAAATAATATCACACAGTACTTATCGCATAGCAACGAGCTCTCTTTATGAGCTCTCTTATTTAACGTGGAAATACGGGTTCATTAAACGCGTTTATATCCGCATATGTTATGTAATAACGCATTATACTCAAAGATATTTATATCAAAATGTATATTTATTCAAGTGCATTATTATGCGATTAAACGAGAAATATGCGTATATATATAAAGCGTATATGTAGAGACTTTCACAACCTTACCAAATATGGCAGCTATATTTTCCGTGTAATCGAGGTGCGCTGCGGCGGCTACCGCCGCATTGGCCGAACAACTTTCTTGAGGATACTTGAAATTTTCCAAATCCTGCGTCACTAAGGTCGATGTCATGACTCAGGTAGAGGTGCTTTCTCTCCAGAGCGAGCTCGATCGCAGGCATCAAACCGGCGAAACCGAAGTACGCGCTGCTGCCGTTGTTTCCTAACATGACAGCCATCGTCAGCGTCATATTCGCCGCCACCGCGCAGAGGTGCCGACAGCCGAGAATGGCAACCACGACAAAGAGGTGTGACATTGACGACGACATCGTTGATGAATTATTTACAATCGCATAACACGCGGGCTCTAATCTTCAACGAGAGCTCGGGATCGACTGCACGTCGAAATCTCTACTGCATAGTCAGTCACGCACGAAAAACTAAACGGTTCGTTCTATTCGCATGTAATACGAAGCAGTAACAATAATATCAAGAGCGTATAAAGAAGGTCCTTCTTTATACGAAGGCCCTTCTAGAAGACCCTTCTTAATACGCTCTTGATAATATCTATATTTAATATCTACGTGCAGGGAGATCGGCAAACATGGAAACCCTAAATAGAATGGAATGGATCTGATTAGTAACGACTGCTGTTAAATCAAGACAGAACGTCACTCGTGGAACTGTAAGACTAAATTCTCTCTAGTGTACGGCAAGTATTGGTCTCGGTTGAAATAAGAAAAGCATTTTAAAGTGATGATGTGCATGGTAAAATCCGATCTCAGAATTTCACTTTGGCCGCAGCATCCCGCCGTTTCCAGTCGCTGTGCTAATGTACATGAACGATGACGCGTAGGTGGTTGGTGACCGTAGACTGCTAATATGAAGCTTTTCGGCCGATCCTACGCGCTAGCATTGCAACCATCCCATCCTCCAAAATACATATGCGTGGATACATGAGCAGCATTCTCTTCTGCTGAAGGAAGTATCTTTGTTGGAAACACCTACGCACGGTGCTTTGGTTCATGGGGGATCATAATCACGCTGAAGGGGTCGTTGTCGTATAGGTACCCGAGGTAATGCTAGTCTAGGGAGTCGCCTACGCCTACTCCCTAACCATATCAGATAGTTACCTCGGGTACATATATGTAGTACCCTATACGACAACGACCCTTCGTGCCATAATCACAGACCAGTGTCGATTATGAACATCGCATCGCCTTCGAATAAAAATTGGATATACTTATTTCCTTGCTTGCTTGCTTGCTTGCTTGCTTGCTTACTTGCCTATTCACGTAGCTTTACTACAGTATTGCTGTATCTAATTATCTATATAATAATCTTAACTAATTAAGCACTGCTTGCATGACAACGTGCCACCTCTAGATCAACCCAGTTTTAATGTTCATGACAACAAACGAAACATTCCATAATAGTTCTGCTACAAGCCAGTGTTTTTTTTCCGAACAACGTTATTTTTTTATTTCTAACAACGTACAATAATCGTGCGGCCTCTCGGCACGCCATCGTACACACTTATAATTAAAATAGAAGAAAATTTAATATAAGTAATCATTCTGCTTCAAGTCAAGTCACACAGACATTTATCTATTACGGATCACTGTGTAAAAAAACTGCTTATCACATGCCAACTATCACCTCTAACCACATTTAATATTATCACAGTCAACTTTTTCCCGTATTCCTTGTACTAGCATTTCTTTGTATCCGCTGTTTTAGTGAGAAGTTCTCGACGATGGATTTACAATCGGCAGTTAGTCGTTGAATGTTCTTTCCGAAATTCATGCACGTAAATAATACTGGGACAGGCCACTCCAGCATTACCTAGCACACGTATGTTCACTAGAAACCATACGAGGCCTGGCGGACTAGTGCCGCACAATCACCCACGCGCTGGAGATGCAGCTTATGAACGGTTGCCATGGCGACTACAGTGTTTGCCTCCTGTCTACTAGTGAACAGCAAAAGAAAAATTGCATATTTTTAGTGCTACGAAAAAAGTGCGTGTGGATGTAGCAATAATGCCATGTACGTACGTACGTACATACATACAGGCATGCATATATATATGGCATGTTGATTCATAACAATGCCTGCAGCTAGTAATATTTTGCAAATTGCACAGTAAAGACAAAACACTGCTTTCTCATGAGATCTCACTGCTAGAAAAAGTTACAGCAACAGATTTGGCATATATATATATATATACAGACAGATAGATAGATAGATAGATAGATATGCCATCATTGAGAAAGTGGATAGCACGTTGCTGTACAGGTTGGAAAAATTGAATAGCTGCAGGTACTGCTATGAATCATGATCCCATCAGATTGTGGCCACAGTGAGTGGTAACCGCGATCGCTCAACCCTAACATATCTATTGCTCTATAACACAAAGACGTTGCGAACATTTCTACTTGATGACTGAATTAGCTTTTTCAGAGAAAACGTAACCAAGTGAGTACTACTGACACAATCAATATTCGGTTAGTTTTGCTAGTGTGGAACAAACAAGCCGCTACATGATGAACGTTTTTAAATTACTTCTAGATCTCTGATGAATTACGCTATAGTAGAATTCCAATGCAATTCATGACAAACGTGTTCTCCTCACCTGTAGTTCTCCTGTCCTCACCCCGCTCCAAAACACCTCTGCCCTAGCAATTACACACTCTATGCAGAATCACTGAATTTCATTTGGTACTAATGCATGTCCGATTACATCACCGAATCACCTCGAGATCTATAGACGATGACATACTTGCGCTGAGAGGGTCTATGTCCTCCAGGGTACCGCCGGAACGTACCCTGGTACTATCTAATATGCCGGTCCGTACCTCGCCTACTCCACTAACGAGTCTAGGGAGTCGCCTACGCCTACTCCCTAACCCTAACTCTAACCATATCAGATAGTTACCAGGGTACGTTCCGGTATACCGGACCGTACCTAGGGTACGTTCCGGCAGTACCCTGTGGGACATAGACCCTATGACAGCCATACTTGCAGACAACTACAACTATAACTCCAACCAGACCTCTAACCAGTCAGCAATTCAGCAACTATCACCTCAGCTTAAACTACCACTACACAAATTGAGCGTCGCGGTTCGACTACCACCAGGTGGCGCCGACAACACACACGACAACCGTCGCGCGCGAAAAAATCTCTGCCGAGGTCGAATCGTCGTCGCCTTCGTTCCCCCGGTCAGATGGAATATCGAGTCATACCGTGGTGAGGCCTGTCTCCCGTGACTGCGTCCAGCGTCGCTCCGTACATCAGCACAGGTAGCCTGGCCTGAATCAAGGGTTCCCTATCGTCGTCTGCTGCGCGGCAAGAAAAGGTGGGGGGGGGAGAAATAATGGAGAACGGTCAGTGCGTGCATGCGACTGGGTGGGGGGTCACGTCAAGCCGCGGGCAAAGGGAGGTAAGTTTGAGGCGGCACTATAACACGCACCCACCCACCTGCGTGGAAAATTTTAAAGCGGCACTAACACCCACCCACCTGCCAAAAAAAATCCAAGGTGGCACTCTAACACGCACCCACGCACCTGCATAAAAAATTCGAGGTCCCCCCCTCCGACTGGCTTCAACTCTCCAGCTTATCGGAAAAATTCGCAGAAAAACTCGAGATTTTTTTTAGCACTGCTCTTAGGCTGCAGTAAACTAGCGTAATGTCGCCGGTCCCCCAGTAGTGGCTGTCAGGATGGCTGCCACGTGCTACGCTGCTTTAGGAAGACCTCAAACCTCGAGCACCCAAAGCTTTTATCGACTCACGCTGCTCCGACACTCGCTTGGGAGCTCGCCGTAAAGTAGACATCTGCCTGCTTACCCTGTGATGTCTCAGAGCTGCTGTCGTCGATGGCGATGGAAGATCCGGGTCTGCGAACGTACTGCATCCACGTTAAGCTGGGCGGTGGTGGGAACGGAGCCCGCTGCCTTTCCCTGCGCAGTTGAAGCGCTATCCCCAGCACCGCTAGCACCATCCACACGACTGTCAGCACCACCTCTGCAGGGGAAAAAAGTCAATCGCATTGCTTTCGTCATTTTTAGACGATCGATTAATTACAATTTCATATAGTTACAATTGCGTATTATAGATTAGCGAAATTACAATTACATCAGAATGTCGTGGAGATATACTCAAAAGAGGTAAAAATAATTAAACATATTTTGCGTCATTCATTAATAAAATCAGTTTGCTTCATTTGTTCTCACAATCAGATGAGGGCTGTATTTCACAAACTCGTCGCCAAAAGAGCTGTCATGTATGATAAAGCATACAAAGCTTGTATGGTAGCTATAGCAACCGTATACGTGTGGCTAGTTGTTCCTACGTTACATTCTATTGTATAGTTATCAGTCTGTCTGTCTATGAATATATATATATATATATATTACAGTTTAGAAGCCAAGGAAATGAACCGTTTGTTTGGAATGGTGCCTATGTTACATTCTATTGTTTGGCTATCAGTCTGTCTGTCTGCCTGTCTAATATATATACATATATATACAGTACACAACCTATTATCCGAAACCCTTGGGACCAGACACGTTTCAGAATTCGGAATTTTTCAGATTTCAGAATGGTAGTACAGTACAGATATACATACCGTATATCCTGCAACTAGCCAGTACTAAAACCCAAGTTTTCAAGAGGCCAAGTGCTGCACCGGTACAGTACAATATGTATGTGTAATGCCAAACCCATTAATATTTCTGCAGTGAACCTTTGGCACCAAACGCGAGCTTTGGTGTGCAGACGACCTCCACGAAAAAACTTTCGGTTTTCGGAGCTTTTCGGTTTTCAGAATTTCAGATAATAACATGTGTGTGTACTATATATATATATATATATTACAGTTTAGAAGAGAATGAAACGCACCATTTGTCTGGAAAGGCACCAAAACAAACGCCTCACTGAATTCAGAGTAGCCATGGCGCACGGAGTTGAGAACGACGTACGTCATACTGCCCCGCGTGAACTGATCGATCGCTACGACAAACGCGTAAGAGCCAACCACGGCCGTCGAAACAAGGCTCACCTGAAAACAATAATCAACGTTGACAATCACCGCAGTCGTAGCCGGTCAGCATACGTTTCGATAGCTCAGAGTATAATCGTGACGTCGCGCACGAACTCGGCTATCTCCAAAGGTGAATGCATACAGCCCAGAGACAATAAAACACTAATAGTTCTGTATAGGAATGTTCTGAATATATAATATATTCTTATTCTAGTAATCTGAGTAATCTGTTCTAGGGTCTCCGCATTCACCTTTGGAGATAGCCGAGTCCGTGCGTGACGTCACGATCATACTCTGAGCTATCGAAACGTATGCCGACCGCCGTAGCCCCACGCCTTATGTTAGAACTAAAGTGCTGCCACCTTACGGGCATAAACGCTAGTCGCGCATTATGCCAATTACCATGCCTGCACGAGATAGACCTAATTTCAAAATTTCAAGTTGGATAATGTAGTTCGCTATAGGCAGATAGCGGCCTAATAAACAATACTACGAAAGGCCAGCCTTTCACTTTCATAAACCAGATCGGTAAACAGATGCAATACAATTTGCGTCCATAAATGCCCCCATAAGTTTTTGATCATCCCCCAGATTCACGATCATTCTGACTGGCTTTACTGAGATGACATATAAAAAAAAAAGTTTGCGAATGAACAAATCCAGCTTACTTACCAGGTTGCTAAAAGGCAGCAGAAGACACGGCACCAGGAGCACGATGGACAGAAACACCATTGCGTAATTGAGACCATTACGAAAAAAGTCCAGTCCACCTGCAAAATTCACACCGTCAAAGTCGGCTGTGTGACCGATCACTTCATACTCTCACATACACTCACAGACTTTACACAACAGCGCAGAAAACAATAATACACTCAACAATAAAAATAAGACATCCAAGAGGTGCATCCATGACCGAATCAGGTTCATGGTGTGGGCACAAAAAGACTCACCCTCTCTGTAATTCACGTGCGTAGTTTTAACTGCTCTAAAACGCAGCACTACCGAATCAGACTGAATCAGGTTCATGGTGTGGGGACAAGAACTCATCACTTCTTTAATTCATGTATTTAACTCCTTTACGCGTTACCCTTAAATTTCTTTCACTAAACTTAATTATTTTTTTATTAAATTTAAATTTTAAATTTTTAAGTGTTTACTCCTTTAAAACGCAGCACTTACCGAAGGCAACGAAGAAGAGCAGAGAGGAACAGACATAGCCCAACACGAGACCGGTGAGTAGGATCGAGACGACTGGTATGCACAGCCACACCCACAGCAGCAGCCACAGCATGCCGCCGATCACTGCCAGCAGCACCGCGATCACGATGACGTCTGTAACAAACACAAGAACATCACCACCAGCAGCACCACGATCACGACGACGTCTGTAACAAACACAAGAACGTCACCGCCAGCAGCGCCACGATCACGACGACGTCTGTAACAAACACAAGAACATTACCGCCAGCAGCACCACGATCACGACGACGTCTGCAACAAACACAAGAACGTCACCGCCAGCAGCACCACGATCACGACGACGTCTGTAACAAACACAAGAACATCACCGCCAGCAGCACCGCGATCACGACGACGTCTGCAACAAACACAAGAACGTCACCGCCAGCAGCGCCACGATCACGACGACGGCAACAAACACAAGAACGTCATCACCGCCAGCAGCACCGCGATCAATGAGACGTCTGCAACAACAAACACAAGAACATCACCGCCAGCAGCACTGCGATCACGATGACGTCTGCCGACCACCAACAAACACAAGAACGTCACTGCTGAGGAAGAGAACGGTCCAGAGACTAACGGGAGAACGCTCGCGCTTGTTTAGATAATAAAATGTAATTCATATAATGTGAAAAATAATGACAACAACCACATCAACAACAACAATATCAATAATAATAATTATTATTAATGCAAAATGTCACGAGAACATTCTTCTGTTGTGAAGGACATGCTCCAGATCATATATATAATATTCTAATGTAATTTTATTAATGTAATATATAATATCAGGGCTCGAATTAACCGACGGCAGACGGCAATTGCCGTCGTGTGCCCCTATCAATTGCCGTACTGCCCCTGAAAATCCAACCCGACCGACGGCAGTCACCTGCCTTGCCCTTTTGTGTAATTGCCGTCGGTGCCCTTTAATCTACTGCCCTAGTTTCGTTTTAGTCGAATCAGCATAACACTGTGCGGCGTGCGGGCTGTAGTTGCAATGATGGAGCTAAAAACGCGATATCCGGCAGAGGAATAATAACGGCATCGGATAATTATTTGCTCCTGATGGCGGGCATGTAAAATTTCTTGTTACTGTACTTCCATTAGCAGAGGTGGGTACAGGGGTCGGTGTTACGGTGTAACTTGTACATGGGGGCATATTGTTTTGTACATTAAACAAGACGATGTTGATGTACTAATTTTTTCCTTTATTTAACAAAAGTGCTTGGTGCCCTTCTCAAATTTTGAGAGTTGCCTGGTGCCTTTCTATTTTAGAGAAAATTCAAGGTGATTCTCACATGCCCTAAAAAAATTGCCTTGCCCTTCTCGTCGCTTAATTCGAGCCCTGTTATATAGATATATAGTAGGATTGTAATTTTAACCTGCATTACAACCACACCAAACAGCTTGCCCAACAATGTGAAATTAGATTGTTATTTAGAACTTCCAGTAATCAGAAGGAAAAGAGGGAAGCTAGCTACAGTAGATTCGTCTGCT